GTAAGTCCGCAGACATACCGCTGTGCCACTGGGGGGGGGGGGGGGCGTTCCTGGAGCTAATGAGTTCCATTGCTGTAAACGAGAACCAAGACGTTCCCCATGCTGCTTTGATAGAGACAATTCACGAATCAGATCAGATGAGGCAGTTTATGTTGAGGTTCCACAGGAATAGAATTACTAGATGAAGATAATTTTGTTCATTAAAACATTCTACTTAAAGAGAATGTTTCAAGAAAGATTACAAGTTCGTAATAAAAAAACAAACAAGGTTGTGCCTAACTAAGAGTGTTACTTAACTTTTCAGGAAAAACCTATTTCTTTGTGGGTTTTCTGAACGACCGAAAATAACATTTCTAGTTCGATCGTGCAACGAAAAACTTAAAACAGGCGATCAGTAACCCTTGTTACCGCTTTTTTAACGTTACTTTTACACTTAAAACATGCTGCTACAGACGATCAGTAACAATTGTTACAGCTTATTTAACGTTACTTTTACACTTAAAACATGCTGCTACAGACGACCAGTAACCCTTGTTACCACTTATTTAACGTTACTTTTACACTTAAAACATGCTGCTACAGACGATCAGTAACAATTGTTACATCTTATTTAATGTTATTTTTATACTTAAAACAAGACTGCTACAGAGATCACTAACCCTTGTTACAGATTATTTAACGTTCACTTTTACAGAACGGTGGAGACGAAAAAACGTGTCCGTCCAATACCCCTCCCTCTCACCCCACTCCAAAAAACAACATTTACTTTAAATCGTTCAAGTTAGTGCTTTTAAAACATTGTTAAAACTGTCACATGAACAAAAAAATCTCCGAACTAGATTCTCAGAGTTGATGAAGACATGTATAAATTAGTAAGAGTGCTAACAGACTATAGTTATACACCAAAATCGAAAAAATAATTGCATGACATTTTTGATAAATATCATGAAATCTCCCGGTAGGAAGTGTACCACTTTTGCTTCATTCACGAAACCCTCACGGGCTCAGTTTGCTAGAACATTCGAGAAGTCCCTCGACTGAGTATAAAAGGGGTGGAATCATACGCCTCTCTATAAGTTGCCTCCCACTCATTCAGTTGGTCACTTCACCTCGCAGCATACCCGCGATATCATCAAATTCTGCAAAACTTTATTTTTTAAAATCTTTCAAACCATAGTACTGTAAACATAAATTATTTCATATTTTTTATAAAATACTTTGAAATCGCTAGTTGCCGAAAACTCAGAAGTCACCCAAACAGTTTCGGCTACATTTATGGAAAATATATTACACTTTTCACGATGGGAAGAACATCACACTGAAAGTAAAGGTAGTATACTACCACTATTTGGGGTGTAAAATTGGTAACCAACGAAACAATTGGGCTCCACATGTGTGTTGTACAGTTTGCACATCTGGCTTGACACAGTGGCTGCATAAGAAGAGAGCAAGTATGCCACTTGCAGTTCCCATGATATGGTGTGAGCCAAAAGATAATCTAACTGACTGTTATTTTTGTATCACAAATGTTTATGGATATTCAGGCAAAACTAAACAATACATTAAATATATAGATATTGCATCTGCAATAAAACCAGCATTTCACTGGGATGATTTTTCAGTTCCACATTCACCAGCAAATTGGGTAAAAGAAGAGACATCTTGCGAAGAAGACAATGGTGTTTTCTTTGTGGCTTCGCTAATTGCCTAAATCCCAGATTAGAGCACTATGAGCACGTGTTTTCTTTGTGGCTTCGCTAATTGCTAAATCCCAGATTAGAGCACTATGAGCACGTGTTTTCTTTGTGGCTTCGCTAATTGCTAAATTTCAGATTAGACCAAGAATTCAGTGACACTTCTTACTCCTGAAGAAATATTCGGAATGTATGATCGTGCAGAAAAGCTATGATATTTGATTACGAAATAACCTAGTCTACCCATGGTTGTTAACCCGAGCTATATCAAAGCTCAATGTCTTTTTTGAAATCTTTTTTTTTCACGACCTCATTTCAGGCGGGATTTAAGTTGGCTGAGGTTAATTGTTAGATCTGCGGAGATACTCTGCCAAAGAAGATATGTAGCTCTATATCGTTATGTGTATATGATAAATATAAGTTGTTGTTATTTTTCTTTTGTTTTTATACTTCGAATTAAGCATTAGTTTGCATGAAATATGTTTCGTGGTCACAAGTGTAAAACAAATTTCCCACGCATGTTTTTACTTTATTTTTGCTGAATCAATTCGTTATTTATCTACACTGTTTTGAGTATGCGGATTTACCTGTGGTATTACGTATAGGTCTACCGCTATTCCAGGCCTATAAGAGGCTTGTGGTAAAATTCCTACTCAAAACAGGAGTCAATTCTTGGAAGAGCGCCATCTCGGTTTATTTGTTACTGGCCATACGATGACGTGCTGTTACTGTTCCTGTACATTTTACTGTGAAGTCATCCTGAAGCAGAAGTTTATTGATTCCTTATATATGACTTAGCTATTTCAGTATTTAACAGCCAAATAAGGCAGCACGTAGCTAATACAGTCTGTGCAGTTGGTTTGACTTTCTGATTGTGTTCAGTCATTGGGTTCTGCCAAGTTTTGATGCGTTCACCAGTTTTATTTAGAAGAACAATAACCTGGTCTACTTATAAATTTGGTGTGTTCTTTTAACCATATTTTACAATTACGCCATGAGCAGGGTTGGAGATATTGTCTGTCTCATTAACTGATGCCGAAAATTGCATGTGCTGTGCCCCCCCCCCCTAGTGGCACAGCGGTATGTCTGCGGACTTACAACGCTAGAATCCGGGTTTCGATACCCGTGGAGGGCAGAGCACAGATAACCCATTGTGTATCTTTGTGCTTAATTACAAAAAAAACAAAACAATAAGCATGTGTTGAATACTCATGATACCCGGCTAGAACTCGTCATGACGAAAAACAATAAACAATAAGCATGTGTTGAATAATCATGATACCCGGCTAGAACTCGTCATGACGATGCTCTAAAAAAATAGTTACTTCTGTAGCTTGAAGATAAAAAATATTTTTTTCAAAAGGTGTCATAACACGGAGGAGTCACAAAGATGGACCTAGAGCACATTTAGATAAAGCTGATTAACACATACATGTTTACTCTATTTGAAAATATTGAATTAGTTTTGTTGTTTTGCGCTTACAGTCTCATTTGCATTGCAGCCTATTATTTTCAGTAAAATGCTTCAGGTTAGTGCAAAACAAGTTAGGAAAACAATAATAATGTGCTATTCAATTTGTGATGGAGAAGCAATTTGATGCGATGTCCCAATGACATTGTGATGGTTAAACCACTCGCTGCAATACATTAAAGACATTTTGATAGCAAAACTATTTGCTGTGATGTAACAAATACATTTTGATGGGAAAACTATTTGCTGTGATGTCCCAATGACATTTTGATGGAAAAAACCATTTACTTTGACGTCTCAAATACATTTTGATGAAAAAAAAACATTAACTCTGACGTACCAATGATATTTTGATGGAAAAAACCATTTCCTCCGACGTCCCAATGACATTTTGATTGGAAAAACATTTACTGTGACCATTTACTCTGACATCTCAAATACATTTTGATGGAAAAATAAACATTTACTCTGACGTCCCAATCACATTTTGATGAAAAAAACCCATTTACTCTGACGTTCCAAAGATATTTTGATGGAAAAAACCATTTCCTCCGACGTCCCAATGACATTTTGATGGAAAAAAACATTTACTCTGACGTCTCAAATACATTTTGATGAAAAAAAAAAATTCTCTGACGTCCCAATGACATTTTGATGGAAAAAACCATTTACTCTGACGTCTCAAATATATTTTGATGGAAAAATAAACATTTACTCTGATGTCCCAATGACATTTTGATGGGAAAAAAAACATTGACGTTCCAATGACATTTTGATTGGAAAATCATTTACTCTGACGTTCCAAAGATATTTTGATGAGAAAATCTTCGCTGTGATGTCCCAAAGATATTGTTAGAAGAAAAACCATTCGCTGTGATGTCTCAAAGACAATGTGAGTAGGAAACGTCGTTTGTTTCATGGTAATTACACTTTTTATTTTTTACTTGTATCAATCTGGAATAGAAAGTTACGCCTTGAGATAAGGCATCAGGTTATAATCTAAAACCTAAAAAAAGTACTTCTTCTGAGCGTATATTAATAAGCTCAAGCAACTGTACTGTTTTCCGTTTGTGTTTCTGATGGTGAAGTTACATTTTTATAGTCTCATCAAAATAAGTAAAGTATCATGTATTAAAACTCATAATTATTCTTAAACCTTACACAACTCCCGCTGTAATTCCTCTATTAGAAAAAAAAAATTATGTAAAGTGTTCCAGTATATACGAAGCTAATAAATAAATATTTTAAATAATTTGTAAACAATGATATCTTTCAACTCTTCTAATAACGTGTACTCGCACATCAAAAACTAAATGTCCTAATTATATGATGTTCTGGTTACTTTATGGGTTGCTCCTATTCCAATACGCCCAAATGAGAGCTGGACTGAGAGGAAACAGCCTTTCTAAACAAATTAAAATACAAATGGAGATCACAACCATCAGATTCCTATTATAGTAGAAGACATTACTATTTCTGACGTAACTCAAAAATAAATAGATAAACCTGATGGTGTTAGTTCGCTTCAAAGAAACAGAGAAAACCATCCCGCACGTGATATACAATACATTATAAATTTTCCGAGTAACAGACTGGTTAAACTTGAACAAAAAGGTTGGGAGATTAAAAGCACCTAGCGAGACAGCTTACGTAAATTAAGAGAGTGATGAAATACTCCTGTAATTACAAGCTTCTATCTTTTAAACATGGAACGTATCCGCCCATTGTCGGCTCATTCGAGCCCTGCCCTTCTTGTCGTTCAACCGGTGATCCGCGTTCGTACGCGCCCGTGTGACGTCATTAATGATGCAAGCGATGCCATACACCTCCATGCCACGCACTTGAAGGGCCAGCTAGTAAGGTTGGTGGTGTTCTGCACGAGTGGCAACCCGCACACACTGCTTGCACTGGTAAAGGTAAGCATATTTCCTGTTCAGAACATCTGTACCTATCGAAGCAAAAAGTATGCTAGGATTTAAATCATACAAAGCTAATGGGCAAATAGTGAACTCGTAGTTGGACTTAGCAACAAGTAATGCTTCCCTTGCTTGTATCATTACCTAAGATGTTGTTTGTCGTAGCGACCTTGAGATAAAATAGGTTAGAGTAGGAAGGTGGAACAGTTTACAGGTATAACACAAAAATTGAGTCTGTAGTTAACTGTTCGCCCAGCAGTTGATGTATCAGATTAGCAGCGTCATTTTATTAAAACTATTTATCAACGACTTGTTTGTTGTTAAGATCTTTTCTAAATAATGGGCCTTTGCTGTGCCCACCGTGGGTATCGAAACCTGATTTATAGCGTTTTACGCCCTCACAATTATCGACGAATATAATATTGGAGTTTTATGATATCATTAAGCTATGTAGACTCGTTGTAAGATGTAATTGTAATTACTGTGGTAAAATTTGTAAGCGATGATTACTTCTAAAGATATTCTTAAAATATGACGTTTAACGTTTGTTCTCCAACTTCTGATTTTTGACTATCTATCATTGTTGTAACTTGTAAAGTATTACCTCCAACTTGTCATTTTTGACTATCTATCATTGTTGTAACTTGTAAAGTATTACTGTAGATAAAATTTTAAGATGTTTGAAGAAACTGAATCATTGTTATGAAATATTTGACTTTTTTAATTGGGGGGATGAATATATATATATATATATAAGTTTCTCTGTGTGTTTCTACAAAATAAATTCCATCAAACTACTTATATCACATTTTTTAGTAATGAGTAAACTAACACAACTTGGTGTATGTTTTTTTTTATTCACATTTTCTTTATTAAGCTCAATTACTGCTTAAGAAAAACAAACAAATACATATTTTTTCGCAAGATAAAACCAACTACTTTATAAACTGAGTTGTTTAACAAAATGAAAATTGTGAAAATGATGGTATGGACTTTTATTTGTTCCTGTGCAAATAAAAATTCAAAATAAATGAAGTTTTTTTAATCAAAGTTTAAACGTCTCCTAGTCAGATTTGTGAGGTTCAGTGCTTGTTAAATGTTGTATGATATACGACAGATTTCGTATTTGTTTCACCTGTATTTATTCTATCTTTGCCTGAAGTGGTATTTCCTTCTCTACAAAACGGTATAAGTAGTATTGATCTGGTACCTCTAATGGTTCAGCGGTAAGTATTATAACGCTAAAAATTGGGTTTAGATACCCGCAATGGGCAGATCACAGATAGCCAGTTTTATAACTTTACGCTTAACAACAAACAAACTGTTGACTTGGCACCGTTTATGTTTTGGCATAGCGCCATCTAGAGGTCATCTGTTTGAACATAGTTGAAATAGTGAACGAGAAAAAGTCATTGCACATAGTTGAACCGCTGATCTTACATCATGTATTAAGTTATAGGCTTTGTAAGTGCAACAATTAGGTAGTCTTATATAACAGGAAGTTGGTGTATAAGCTATAAAGTCGGTGTTCATGTTGCAAGGTTGTATATTTGACGTATTTTTAAGTTTCTTTTCTGTTATGTTCAAAAAACTACTTTTGTTTTCAGAAGTTTTGGCGACCATATTTTTTTTTCGTTATCAAATCAAGTAACTACATAAAGAAGTGGCGCATCAGACTGAATCTCAAAGCTATTAACTGATTAAAAAATACGATATTTAAAATTATATTTTTATTGACTCTCTTTCTCCCATTTCATACTGCTTGTTTGAAATACTTTTTTACTAACAATTTAACTTATTTTATTACACGTGGTTAAATCACTGTGTAATATTAAAGAAAAAAAAACCAACAAAAACATACGTTTTTTGGAGGTTAGCCAATTGTAGAGACGAAATATGTTAAGCAAGTACAATTAGTTCTTAACCTGAGCAGGGTCGAGCGTGGCTTGGTGGTTAGCGTGTGGAACTGAGGTTCCGTGGTTTGCGTCTCGTTACCGCAAAGAAAAAAAAAAAAAAATCCGCGCTCCTTAGTTTGGATGCGTTACAGTGAAACCCCTCTTTTCGTTCAAACCAGACTATTCCGCAAGTTTGTTATGGGTGCTGTTCCCTAGCCGCCTTCCCTCTAATCTCTCACTTCAAAATTAAAAACGGCTAGCGTAGATAGCCCTCGTGTAGCTCTGCGCAAAATACGAGAAAAACAAACAAAAAACAATTTAACCTGAGCAGTTTATAAAGCATGGAGCAACATAATGGGGTATTACTGTTCTGTCCATCGTGGGTATCGAAACCCGACTTTTAGATTTATAAGCCCACGATTTTCCGCTGAGCCACCAGGGGCAACTGAGCAATCAGAGACATGATATAATGAATGCTGAATCATAAGTAAAACATGGATCTTTTTGGTAGCGTGTATGTTTATGCTTTTCTGTTTGTTTGTTTGTTTTGAATTTGTTTGATCCAATGCATGTTTATCGTTGTTAAGTGTCCTGTTGTTTGATGAAAGGTATGTTTTATCGTTGTTAAGTGCCATGTTGTTTGACCAAAGGCATGTTTTATCGCTTTAAGTGTCGGTTGTTTGATCGAAGGTATGTTTTATCGCTTTAAGTGTCAGTTGTTTTATCCAAGCCATGTTTTATCGTTGTTAACTGTCCTGTTGTTTAATCGAAGGCATGTTTTATCGCTTTAAGTGTTGGTTGTTTGATCGAAGGCATGTTTTATCGTTGTTCAGTGTCCTGTTGTTTTATCGTTGTTAACTGTCCTGTTGTTTAATCGAAGGCATGTTTTATCGCTTTAAGTGTCGGTTGTTTGATCGAAGCCATGTTTTATCGTTGTTAACTGTCCTGTTTTATCGCTTTAAGTGTCGGGTTGTTTGATCGAAGGCATGTTTTATCGTTGTTAATGTCCTGTTGTTTGATTCAAGGCATGTTTTGTCATTGATAAGGCACGCCTCTTTATCGTTGTTCAGTGTCCTGTTGTTTTATCCAAGCCATGTTTTATCGTTGTTAATGTCCTGTTGTTTAATTCAATGTATGTTTTATCGCTGTTAAGCGCCCTGTTGTTTGACCCAAGGCATGTTTTATCATTGTTAAATGTCCCGTTGATTGATGCAGTACTTGTTTTATCATTGTTAAGTGCCCTGTTGTTTGATCCAATGCATGTTTATCGTTGTTAAGTGTCCTGTTGTTTGGCCTAAGGCATGTTTTATCATCGTTAAGTGCACTGTTGTTTGACCCAAGGCATGTTTTATCCCTGTTGCTTTATCCAAGGCATGTTTTATCATTGTTAAGTGTCGTGTTTTTTTTTTATCGAAGGCATGTTTTATCATTGTTAACTGTCCTGTTGTTTGATCAAAAGCATGTTTTATCGCTTTAAGTGTCGTGTTATTTGATCGAAGGCATGTTTTATGGCTTTAAGTGTCGTGTTGTTTGATCGAAGGTATGTTTTATCGTTGTTCAGTTTCCTGTTGATTAATTCAAGGCATGTTTTATCACTATTAAGTATTGTATTGATTTGTAGACTTTAGATTTTAGGGCATTTTCGCTTACAATATAAAACGTTTCTTTTTCTTCTTGAAAATCAAAAATTAAAGTGCTATTTACAGTTTTAATGTAAGTTAAGCTAATAGTTAAGGGATTATCACTGAACAAAATCAATAATAGTTTTTTTGTTCATAATATTGTAAAAAGTTATGTTTTTAAAGGACCATCAAGTTGTTGAGGTAAGATTCAACTGAAGTGCCCTACTTCAAAAAAGCAAGTCACGGAAAATGCACTCACAATTAGTGAAATAGTCAATAATTCACGATACTTTAAAATGAGGTAAGATTCAACTGAACAGTCCTACTTCTAACATGTGACAACATTTTGCATTATTAACATTAAGTAATCTCATCTTTTATGCACATAATTCCATGAATACTTTTCTTAGATAAACCTTCATGATAAGAAATATTAGAAGCTTTGTTTTTGCTCTCTTCTGAATCTGTCACTTCAAAGAAACAATGTGAGGTAAGCATACATGACGACTTTGCAAAATAAAAAAAAACTGACGTATTTGGAGCAAGACGCAGAAAGCCATAAAGCAGTGGTTCCCAATTTTTTTTTTTTTCCACTGACAACACCCTAACCTACATACCTGGATTTGCGCGACACCCCTAGCGGCTTGCCGTGACACACAGTTTGGAAGCCACTGCCATAGAGTTAGAAATAAGTAAAGCTGAGATATTCCCATAGCGCATGGCAAACCATAATTCACATATGAAAGATGGTGTTCAGTGACGTCTGTCCATTCTTCTGTTGTTACGACTGACGAATAGGCTTAAATACACCACAACCTGGTACGTGAATAATACATTAGAATCATAGGGTTAGTAAGAATTATATATATATATATACGTCGAAAGCAGTATTTTATGAAAACTTTCATTTTTTAATTTTAAAAAAATCTACAAATATAGTGTCTGGACTCCAATGTGGTGAGGTTTTCTTGTAAATGACACAAGTTTAATTATTGCATATGGTATTATATGAATGCGGGAAAAATGGGCAAAGCTACATTAAAACTTTTAAATTATGTACAATTTCCCAGCTCAGCAGGAATTTCCATTTTCACCGCCATGTACACAGAACAGCATTAGGTTCCGAGTGACTGTAATAACCTCTTCCATAAATAACACTTTATTTCTTGATAGTAAAACACCCAAGAGTTAACTAAAAATTATCATTCTACAGCAGATAATTCTACATCTAAAGATGTAATAGCACACACACACAAAGAACATGTATTGGACTATTTCACTAACCCTGTAAATCTACGGACTTACAACGTTCTAATCCGGGGTTCGATTCCCCGCGGAGAACACAGCAGATAGTCCAATGTGAGTTTGCTCTAAAACAAACAAATCACTAACCCTTATTTCATTCAACTTACTTCCATATCAGGAAACATTTTCATCAAATTTATATTTGAAACTTTTAGTTGTTGACCAACCACCTGCGCAA